CACAGACAACCCCGTGACAATATGCGTTTTGTACTGCTGTTACACAGCACAAAACGCATAAAAAGCTGAATGACGCTTTTCTTCTTAAATGCTGGAGAACAGACAAACACTTTAATACTTTAAACAGTTGCAATACGTAGCGTGTTCTACAGCTATGCAGCCGGTAACTTTTTCTGAGGCTTTGACCAGTGCTTCGTCGTCTAGTGGTCAGCTGGCTGCCACTCACTGAAGCTTAAAGGAATGCATTTTGACCGTTCTGAGGGCAAAATTTAGCACATTTAGCACACTTCCTAGTTCTGTAAATCCACAAGTATTTTTCGTTTACAACCTACTAACATCCAGTTGGGCTATTAGTGGTTTTGAATATTTAATCTTGTTTGCAAGCCAGTTCGAACTTCGATCTAAGCTTTCTAACCCTAGCTTAGGTTCGGTGTACACCTGCCACTATGGAACATTGGCCAGAGTTTGGACCTTAGGTAACAGACTGAAGACGAAGTTCAGTTTGAAAGTCGTTCCGGGGTATCTACATCGCATTATGTATCAAATCAAACTTCTGGAAAAGTTCTTCATCGTTTTTTGATTGTAAAAGTGTAGGGTTTTAAACTAAATGAAGGAGTTGAGATTGGGAGTTGATTTTTAGACCTATGGCCCTGCATACAACCGAGGAAGCTGCAAACAAAATTTCACCGTGCAAGCAGTTTATGCAGCTCTTAAATTGAACTTATTACACGTAACATACGCCTACATAAACACATCATTATTCATTCTCACATGTACATAATTTATGCAAAAACGCATAAGAGTTGAAAGCCTTTTTGAATGTGTTACTTGCGGGGAACAACGGCATATTGTGACATGTGTGCCGTATGTCGAGAATTTTGGCCCATTTTATTTGCCCTTCACGTCGATAATAGTGCCAGTTTTTGGCACTAAAACATCGTTTCGCGAACCGTCTCGCACACTTTTTGAGGATGATCTGAGACGAGACACTGGTGGCAAATGTTCATTATATTCTAGATGCAAGTAAACATTGTCGAGAACGCATAAAAGATACCTGAAAAGTGCACTGAAATTAAAATATGCATGAAATACTTTCCTACTGGGCACTTATATCCTACTTGAATGATCAAGCGAGTTATGGCACTTTATCAACAGCATGCATGCAAAGCGGTGGTCTCCTCTTTCGAGAATTGCTTAAAAATAATCTTGACGGGTTTATTCTAAATCACTGAAACGGTTGAACGAATCGTGGAAGTGAACGAATCTCAATAGCCGACTACGGAACACAGTAACAAAAATATGGATAAACATCAGAATATACATCTTCAGAATTAACGTGGGTATTTCCCATTTCAGCTCCACCAAAAGTGGGAAGTGATGAGTCGCATGAAGTGGTTGTCGGGAAGAGTGTAATACTGAACTGCGATGTGGTGCGCGAAGGCTCCAAATCGACCATATCTTGGCTTGCGGTTAGATTTTTCTCGAGCTGCTTGCCTCTTTTGTACTGCTCCTTGCATTGTTTTGCTAGGCCTTTGTTGTGCTACAGAAATATGGCTATTACTGTTACTATTTTTGTTATTATTATTGTTTATCTCCCAAAAAAAGCGTTGAAAGAAACACATATGCAGTAGTAAATGTGGATTTATTAGACGATTCGATTTGAATCATTTTTTAATCATTGCTAATTTAAATGCTTGAAATAGTTCATTCGCACTCTGGCTCTTTGTCCGTTCAGCTAGCAACTTTTCCAGTTGTTTTAACATCGCGATCAGCTGCTCATGACCCTTACGTTTGTTTCGTTTTTTTGAAGGGTGTATGGGCTCAGCTGTTCTCCCGGTACAAGCATGTGATATGTGGATTTCGGGATATCGAACTGTGTATTTTGAGCATCATCATATCCTCCTAAAAGTTGCCGTCTCTGGACCGCGGTGAGGCCTCGGGCTTCCCTCTCTCTTCTTCTTCCACCCTGTTTAGGAGGATTAATCGCTTTCTTTTTTGATCATTCGTTCAGTTTTTAATACACAACAATCCATTAACTATATTCAGTACTAGCCAGTTTTTCTGGGAGTAAATGGTCATTGTGGAATATTGCAGAACGGTTCAGAAACACTACCACCAAATGCTCAAATTGTCCTTGATGGTCGGCGTATGTACATCGATGATATAACACTTAGCAACGAAGGAGTATATCAATGCCGTGTACGGAACAGTGCTGGTCAAAGTACCAAGAATTTTGCTTTAGCCGTTTTAGGTATAATTTTTTGACGTCCCAAAAAATTTTCTTTGTCATCGAATAAATTTAAAAATTTATTTTACCACGTTTATACCACCTTGTTATTACCACCGAAATAAACTATACGATAGCTGATGACTGTTTCTCGATTATACAAAGAACTTGAAGCTCTGGATAATCCAGAAGTAGCCGTCCCCCCATGTCAGCCATTTCTTTGTTATATTTGAAAATTTTTCATAATTATAAGCTCCGCGCCGGTGTGCATGCGGCGAAATGGCAGATACGCAGCACTAACATGGAAGAAATTGACAGCTATGTCTGTGTTGGACAAAAAGTAAACATGCACCACAGTCAAGAGGAAAGGAGAACTGGACATTTTTCTAACTTCTCTTTTAGTCGGTAAAAAAGTGTCGCAACCCTGAAATGCGTTGCAGCACCACCACGTTTCACTGACAAAGAATACGAGGCAAACATTGAACTAACATCGGGTGCAGTACTGCCATTGACATGCTACGTAGAAGGGAATCCGCGACCGGATGTTCGGTGGTTACGCGATGGACAAGTGCTTGCGGATGGAGCTGCGTCAATTAGTGATCGAAACCAGAAACTTATTTTACAGCACAACGATTTTACCACACACAGGTAATCGTTTAGTCAAATTTCCAAAATACTGGTGCTTTGATAATAATAATCTTAACGGATTACCGTGTTGGGAAGTTGGGTGTAATGGCAAGCAGCGATGCTTTCGTGCAAAAGACTGAAAGAAGCTGTTTTGCAGAGGGTCGAGGGGATCGAATGGCTCCATCAGCGGGGGATCGAGCCCTTGACTTTCTGCAGCAAAACTAATTTATATATGAATGATTCACTCATCCTGGCTTTGTTAAATTGGTACTGGCAGATCTTAAAAAACAGCTCTCCAAACAAGTAGCGTTGCTATTGAATGGTTACTATTAGGCAGTGTGCTATCACTCAAGTTGTTTCTAAGCGCCTTTGCCACTTAGGGAACGTGAATTTTAATTGGAGAATCTTTTTTTGACTGGCACGAGAAAAGTGCCATCCGTTCTATAATCGGGCCTTTAAAATCAATTATTGCTTTGATCTATTATCTTGATTCAAAATTTTTCATGAAAATAATTATCACGAGAAAACGTATGGAGAAATGTTTGCTTTTAACATACTGTAGCTTCCATTAGAAAAGCCTGGAATCTCCATCCATTCTATTTTGTGGAAGTTTCTGAGCAAAAATGATGTAAAAACTGTTTACGAAACTCAGTAGATCGGTTACATTTTGAGCTAATTAGCCCTTGATAAGAAAGATAGTGGCTGACTGTGGTTTGGCCAACACTCAAGGGTTCCGCACTCGCAATCCAATAAAATCCCAGTTAAAGAAGCTCCTAATTTTGCCTAAGCATGTAAAACTCAGCAAACCAAGTTGGCAAAAATTTAAAACAGGCTGTAACACAGCAGGCTTGCCGGTGCGATTATACGTTTTTGCATAAAACTTAAAGCAGTCAGGGCGATAACTGTATAAATGACTGCTAGCGTTGCACGCTCAGTAGCGCAAATCAGTGCAAATTTTAGATAATGTGTACAATTTCCGTTTAACCGTCGCCCTTTGATAATGACCCAACCGTCTAATAAGCAATTTTCCCACCGAAGATTTTAATTGCTTGTACGTGAGAACCACGCATACCTGGGAGCTGGAGATGAAATCTTTAGGTTGTACTTGAATGGGAACATCCGTTAAGATTTCAGTTCTCCAACTTTTCTGTTCTCTAACTTTTCCGTTCTCCAATTTTAGTTCTCCAACAGATAGCAATTTTCCCACTGAGATTTTCACGTGCGCGTACCTGAGTGCGACTCGTACCTAGGGCAGGATTTGAAATTTTTATATTATGCTTAGACGGAGAACATTCTGTTAGTATTCCAGCGGTACTGCTTCTACGGCTCCTAATTTAGTACTTCTCTCATCAAAAATTTTCACAATCCCGTACGTCAGAACCAAACACAGACACACACAAAAGTTTGAAGTCTTTGTGCTGGGCGTAGACGGGAAAAATCTGCTCAAAATTTCAGCTACTCAGCTTTTCTGGTTCTCTATTTGGCAGTTTTCCCGCCAAAAGTTTCACGCGCTCATATACGGGGCTCAGACGTGCATGAGGTTTGGTACTGCGGCCTTAGGGTGAAGTTGACAAGGAACCTACTGGCAAAATTTCAGCGCCGAAATTTGGTTGTTGTCGAATTGAAGTCCCGAACAGACATACACGCCTGGACGCAGACACATGCGTGCACACACACAAACATGTAACACACATGGGTCGTCACAGTATGCTTTTTTGCATTCACATACATGTAAAAACGCATTAAAAAAGTTAACTTAGTTCCACTCTAGAAGTTACTGGTTGCACAGTAGGGAACCCAGTTTATGAACTACAGCTGATCTAGTAGAATTTTACAAGTCTAGAGCATCATTATGCGCATTCCGCTAAACGGCTTCAGAGAGAGCGACTTCACTATTTTCCATTAGCTGGGAGCAAGTATTTTGCGCACTTGCTGCCTTCTTTGGTGGTGGTGCCCGTTTCTCAGGCTCCCGCTCCAGCTCCAAACCCTTATTTTCCGTTAACTAGTGACGAGCTGGAGATTTTATACTATGAACAAAAAAATTTAATTTTTCAGGTATACGTGCATTGCAAGCAACAAAGCTGGCAGTATATCGCGTGAATTTCTTGTGCAGGCATGCTTTCAAATCTCATTATGTTTATTTATTGCTGAGCTAACAGTACCTTGTAAGGCTTAACGTAAAACTGTCAAAAACATGCTTCTGTATGGTGGTTTTTGCCACTCAGTACCCATCTCCATACTTTCGCATCACCGTTTCAAGTACAATTGCGTTTCATTTTCTGTTTTTTCGTAACCTGCTTTCTTCAACCTCAGTCGTCTCCTGTTCCAGTACAGCCTTGAGAGTCCTTTGAAAATTACCATCAAATCGAACCGAGGTTGTGTGTGTTTCTTATTCCTGCAAATTCGCATTTTACTGCTGGATGTGCAGTTCAGTTCCTTTCACAAACAGTAAGGAATTACTAAGAGAACCTGCAGCAACTGAATACAAAAATTATTTCTGAGTTTGTAAATATTATTGGAACTGAATGAATGACTGCGATTATTTTTTTTTCACAAAAACCTGGTTCAGGTAATAGCTCCTCCTCAAATGGATGCTTCCGGAGATCGTACAGCAGTTGAAGTTAACGAAGGGCATACTGTCACTCTGGAATGCCCTGTGTCGAGTCCTGTTGAGGGCATCGATATCGAGTGGTTCAAAAATGGACGTCCATTTATGGTTTGTTCTTGCAGCGATTTTCCTTGTATACAATTTAAAAAGTTCGTTAAATCTTGGCAAATCCAAGCATGTAGTCGACAGATCCTAGCTTTAAAACATTTTAAAATTAATAGAATCCCATTAATTAAATAAAGCTGTTTGATTTTCACACCTACGCTCTGCAATATGTGGCTACCGCCACAAATACAGCAAATTTTTCCAATTTTTGCTGGCTTTCCGCAAATATTCCGCAACAGATGCCACTCATTACAAAAGTGTGCTGAAACCCTGCGCGTCTGTTTTTTCTAGTCCAATATTGTTGACGATAACTTATAATATAAAATTTCTTCAAAATTTCAGCCGGATGATTCAAATATGCAAATTGCTCTGGATAAAACCCGACTGGTATTAGTTAACATCCAAAAAGATGGCGAAGCAACATACACATGTGTCGCAAAAAATTCGGCTGGACAAGCGACACAAGAATTTGATGTTATCGTTCTCGGTACGAAAATTTTGCTGCTGCTTGGGAATAGATATATCATAAATGATTTTGTCTAATTTAAAAGCCAGATTTCTTTTTTACATTTTTTTCATAATTTGTACTTTTTGTACTGGTCTATAGCTTTTTTCCAACATATTTTTTGGCGTTAATTACATTCCCTGTTCAGCGAATTTCACAATGCTGCTAACGACTAGTATTTGTTTGCAATATGTTGTCGCTCGGGCTAATTTTGTTTGCATCTAGCATTCATATGGAGTGAATTGCTGAGGTTTTTGCCTTCATTTTATTGAAAATTTTGTAGCATCATACCAATATTTTAATCCTAACAAATCCGTGACGTTAGACAAAAAGAGCATTTCCTTTTACGAATAGCTGACTGGCACCAAAACAACTAACTTCCAATTTTTTTCTTCAGTTCCTAGAAAAAGCAATCCAAAGCGTTGAGACATGAGATTACTTTTGCTAAAAAGTGACTTCAATAGGAGATAGTGCATGCTTTTGAAAATTAAAAATCAGAAGACCAAAGTTTTTAACATTTGTAGTACCACCGAATATTACTGGTAGAGCGGTAGAAGAACTTGTGATTGTGGAAGGTGAATCACTGGAGCTCGAATGCGACTTCGAGGCAGATCCGATTCCAGAAATTCAGTGGACTAAGGATGCTTCCAGCATTGGATACAACGTACAGGTAACACTTGCTGAAGACATTTTGCTTTTATTTATAGGTCAGTATACTCTACAGTTCATCAGCAGACTTATCGGAAAATGCATCTTTAGTCAAAACAGCTGAAGGATCTACAAACTGCACAAAGAGAAATAAAATAAGCATTAAAGCTGATTCAAATATTTCAAGTGTAATTATGCGAAGGGGAGTTTCATTTTATTTAATTGGCTTATGTCTTTCTTCAGCTGTGCAGTTAGCAGTCTTTCCAGCTGCTTTGAGCAGTGCTACATCAGTCTGCTGAAAGGATTCCCGATTTAACGTTTCTCCCAGTAAAAGCAGTTAGCAAGGATTTCGCTGCTCCGCAACGTCTTGCGTTTATTGAGCATCAGCATGTCATCTCAGACTTTGCCGCTTCTAAAGCGTAATTAGATACCCTGGCATTAGTCATAATATTAAAAAATTAGCCAACGCACGGGCTGCCCGCACGAAGGTGCCTTTTTTGCATGGTTCCCCGCAGTTCTTGTTGCTACCGGCACCGGTTTTTTCGGCAAATGCTTCTAGCTAAACAAATTAAGACTAGCCGCCAGAACTGTCAGAAAATTTCCCCTTAAAATTTCAGCTTTCTAGCTTCCCTGACACCTGAGTTAGCAATTTACCGAAACAAAAACTTTCACGGGCCCGTGCATGTTTACCAAGCATACCTGAGAACTGGGTTCGAGCTGAATGAAACTTAG